TATGTGGTATTGCGTTCTACATGTGGTTCTATACTTCTTATAGTGTTCACTCATTTAGTGTCTGTCTTCTTCATTAGACTTAAGCACCATGAATGCAAGAATGGTGCTTATTTTGCATGAGTTTCTATTCCCATGTCTCCTTATTATGACTGAAACAGATTTGGGATCAGTAAACAGTTGAATAAATTGGCATTTCTTCTCAATGGTCACAAACATTTTAGGTGAGTGAATTTCTGGGGTCTGCTTTTCTTGTCTAATGACAGAGCCCATTATCACCATCCTTCAATATTTACACAAATTGCAGCCCTGGAGTTCATGGTATGGCTTGATTCCCAGATTATCAAAGAGAATTACTACAATTTTAGTATATGTGCTGCCGAAGCAAGCACAGAGAATTACTACAAATAATGTGAATATATGATGGTCTCTCTCAACAAACAGAGCTGGATCCCCATAGACACTTTCATTACTTATCCCTAATTAGGCGAGATAAAGACTTCTGTAGCCCTCATAGGCTATTTGTTCCCTGAGAATTCCATGATTATATAACTCCTTTCTGGTTCTCATTACTTAACTTTTCAAGTTCCCACATGACTCCATTTGGCTTCATTTTAGAGGGAGCAGCCCAGGAACCAGACTCACTTTGGCCATTTATTATTCATGTGATTTGTTAATAGTTGTCTAGTAGCAACTTGTTGCTACCTTCTCCCAAATTGATCTTACTAACAGCATGCAACAAGGTCCAGGGAAAACAATTCCAAGTAATAACGATGTTGACTATGATTATGACCATCACCCCTTACAAGTGTAAGGCATTTTAAAGATGTTCTTATTTTCTCATCACAGCAGAAGTCATCAGGGAAGCTAACTTCAGAGCTAACTTCTTATCATTCTCATTTTATAAATGAAAAATATCAAAGCTCAAAGAGGTTAAGTGATGTATCTAAGAAGCATGAGCAGCAGATCCAGGACTAGAATTCTTGGAAGCTGATTCCAAGGTCAAAAGCATTGTTGTTTTCTTCAGTTTCCTCCTGCCTCTAGACAACTTCAAACAGTTTGGCCAAACATTAAAAAAGAACATTGCAATAAGGTGTTTACTTTCTTTCACAGCCTGAGTTTCTAATTTGAGATCCACTTACATATGAAGGTGCAGGACTTCCGTGTTGTATCGTCCAGGGAATAAGGTAAACCTATAAATATACTTGTTCAAACCTACTGTCTGCATAAATTTGCCTGGATAGAGGTAATCAGAAAAATGCATCAAGGAAGTGATTTCTCCTTTGATTTATTCAAAACTTGGGCTTGAACATTTTGAATTTTTTGCATCTGTTTTGCATAATCGGGGATTATATGTTTCAACACTGTAGAGATCCTTTTAGAACATGTAAATCATATAAGATAGATGAAAAGCACAAGAAGACCTTGAGTCTTTATAATTACAGGCTTTTTCAACTTTAAGCAAATTATTTAAGTATTTCAATCTGTTTTCCCTTTCAGGGAATATGACAATGTTAGTTGTTTTGACTAATTTCAGTGTTGTTAAGAGGATCAAATGGTTATCAATATAAAATGTTACTGTATTCTGGGAGCTCATATAATATCTAAGAAGAGAGAAAGAATGAATGGAGAGTAATAATGAGAGAAAAATCAGGGTTGGTAATTGGCTATAAAATCCACCAAAAAGGAAATGTGAAAAGACACACAAGACATATTATAGAAATGAATAGATCTAAACTCAAATTTTAATTCTGCCACTAGAGACTTATTTATTAGCTGGGCCCTCAATTTATTAACTGTTATATGAACTGCCTGATGACTATAGTGTAAATGAGATCAGCTACCATCACACAGTTCCAAGCAAATGAGAAAACAATGCTTTCTATTGGGGTGGAGGATGAGAACAGTACTCATCAGTTAATATATGTGTCTCAGAGTACTAGGTATCCTGAGGTCAGGGAATGATTCTTGTTCATCATTATAAGCCTGAAAATTAGCACACACCCTGGTGTACCACATAGACTTATTTGTGCTTATACAGGGAATGAAGGCGTGAACAACATCCAGCACTTTATATGGCTCATTGGTTGGTGTTAATAATGAGTCATGTTTCTTTTTAACTCTGTGAGGGGTTTTTGAGGAGTTGAAGTAGGTTGGAACATTTGTAGATCCATTTCTTGTTATTCAGCTAAGATCCAGAAAGGTAGGTTATTTGCACACAATACACAAACTGTTAAATATATTTGATTCCCAAGTTTGTGCTTTTGAATTCTCCCCATTGATTTAAGACAATAGATTTAATCCTTAATCAGTCATCATCCAGTCAACCAAATCCATTACTTTGTTTGCCCAGTTAGTTTAAATGATAAAAAAATTAAAAGAATATTTCATCATGATAAGGAGCTAAATTCGATTCAGAATAACTTAGCTTCAAATACCAGCTCTGCTACTTTCTTCAGCCACAAGCAAGTAACTAAATGTCAGAAATCCTCAGCTTCCATACCTGTAAAGTGGGGATAATATCTCACATGATGTGTGAGGATTAAGTGAGGTTAAGTAGCACAGCTCCAACTTGGTTATGGGAACATAACAAATGCTCAATAAATCATCTCTCTAACAGCTTAAGTCATTATAAATCATGACTTCCACTTATACAAAATGATAAATTACGATTAAGTAATTTTGTGTAACAAAGTAATGGATTTGACTGATTATAATGACATAGTTGTGTCTGAAGAGGAAGGTTCTGGGGAAGACTTCAGGGAAGCTTTGGAACGTGTGTGATTCTTTGAAGAATACATGAGATTTTATATCAAGGGCAGAGAACATTTTGTCAGGAAGATTGTAGTTTTTAATTTGTATGGAGCACCAACTATCTGGCAGTCCATTCCATCAGAAGTTTCCATCTGTGGAGCAAAGAATGATAACAGGTCAACATATGCCTCATAGAACCATTGTAGTTCCTAATTTCTTTCCAGTAGACTAAAACGAGTTTTAACTTTCTTTTTCCTCCAGGAAGATGTTGGATTAAAACCTAAGATTTCTGATGTGGACAAGAAAGTTGGTAAGAAGTTTTGCAGTGATTCCTAGAACCCTGTTGTTTTCCCACAATTCGGGAAGTTTGTAACTATGCTATCAATTCAAGTGAGCAGTTTTTTAAGGAACCAAGAGGGTTTCCCCATCACCCTGTCCCGTATAAGCAGTCCTCCTACCTCTAGTAGTAGCAGCAGTGAACTCTGCCTGTCATGACTCTGGCCTGCCTAAATTGCCCTCCCAATCCCTCCCTTACTTCAAGTCCCATAGGACTAATCTCATTACTATTATTTAGTGCTTTGTCATCCATCACAAAGCTGAGGATTGTCATCTAAGCCCTCAACTCCTACAAAAGAATGTCTGTACATCTCTGCATAGCCCCTTCACTGACCTTGGGTCCCATTCCTGCCCAACTCCTGAAATCATTCCTCTGCACCCTCTGGCATTTATAGTCATTTGTCCATATGATCTGGTTCATACTTAAACTCTCCTCTGAAAGTCTCTTGCCTGCTTGGTCTGACCAAATCCAGTGTCCTGGGCAGTAGTGTTCTCTCCCATATCCCCCTTACCACTGAATCTCATCATCTTTTCAACTTTGTAAACATTAGAATACTCTGATTTTTGTCTGTCTGAACTCTTTTCTTTGATCATGTGCATTTAATATACACGTGTTGAACCATTAAAAGTTGCCAGCATGGTTCTTATTGATATAAACTGAGGCAGCCAGACCCGTACTCCAAACTTTCCATTGCATACCTAATTGTTTATGCAACACTCTACTTGGATGGCCAAAAGGTATCTTAGACACAATGAAATGATCTCTTTCCCCCTTTTCTTAAACACCTGATTCTTTTACAATATTTTGTGTATCACTGTATAAAACTTGGAGTCAACATGGACCCCTCTCTTTCTCTCATGTCCTTTTTTCAATATATCAGGAAATATGGTCAGCTCTAATTTGGAAATATATCTTAAAGTGGATGGATTTCTCATTATCTCTCTCACTACCATCTGGGTCCAGGTAATCACCATCCTTTACCTAGAATATTACTATGGCCTCCTAATTTTTTCCAGCATCTTTCATCCTTATCCTGCTAAATTCAATTACCAACAAATCTACCAGAGTTGTCTTTTTAAAAAATAAGTAAGATTATGTTCCTTCTTGGTCTAAATCCTGTAAAGTTTTCCAATCTCACTCAAAATGAAAGCTACTTAACTTAGTGTAGTATATGTGATCATTATGCCTCCCCCAGCTCTCTCTCACCTAAACTTTCCTTCCCACTGTAGCATCATTGGTTTTCTTGCTGTCTCTAGAACAATCTTGGCATGTTCAAACCCTAGTACCATGTATTTGTTGTTGCTTCGGTCTGAAATGCTCTTTCCTCAAATATAGGCTTGCTCCCTTGCTTCCTTCATCTGTTTACTCAAAGGTATCATTTTAGGCTAAGGATATGTTTTATTTGACTATCTTTTACTAAGAAATATCACTGTTCTTGACACAATGTACAAGACAAAAAAAGGTCAGTTGAAGCAAAATTAACTCAATTTCACATTAATTTTACGGTTATTCTAGTTTAATAACAAAGAGTAATTTGTGGTTGTTTTGTAAGTTTTGATTTGGGAGTCTGAGCTGTTCCAAGTAGCAATGACTCTGGTGACACTGTGTAAGTCCTTTCTTTTCTCCTTTTTCACTTAATTTGGTCTTCTATGAAGTTAAGACACTGGCATGCATTTTCTCCAAAACCTTTTTTCTGGCATATTCTATAATAACTTAAGATTGCATTTCATTGTCAAAACCATGCTTTAGTTCTAGAGCGTCCTGAAAACAAGTTCTTGCAATACCAAAATAAAGCGCAGAGTGTACATACTGATTTCAGCAATACTGATTTCAGCAGAGTCCCCTTCATTTACAATTCTGATTCGATTTTCTCATTGTTACTGGGCAGCCACGTGATTCCCAGCAGACCCCCATGGAGAACAGTACAGAGGTGACTGAGTTCATTCTTGTGGGCTTAACCAATGACCCCAAACTGCAGATTCCTCTCTTCTTAGTCTTCTCCCTCATTTTCCTCATCACTCTGGCTGGGAACCTGGGCATGATGGTGCTGATTCTCATGGACTCCCGTCTCCACACTCCTATGTACTTTTTCCTCAGTAACCTGTCTCTGGTGGACTTTGGTTACTCTACAGCTGTCACTCCCAAGGTCATGGCTGGATTACTTACAGGAGACAAGGTCATGTCCTACAATGCATGTGTCACCCAGTTCTTTTTCTTTGTAGCCTTTATCACTGCAGAAAGTTTCCTCTTGGCCTCAATGGCCTATGACCGCTATGCAGCTGTGTGCAAACCCCTGCATTACACCACCATCATGACAACAGGTGTGTGGCTCGTCTGGTCATAGGCTGTTACATCTGTGGTTTCCTGAATGCTTCCATTCACACTGGGAATATTTTCAGCCTTTCCTTTTGTAGAGCCAATGTTGTTGATCACTTCTTCTGCGATGCTCCTCCTCTCCTGGCTCTCTCATGCTCAGACAACTACATTAGTGAGATGGTTATTTTTTTGGTGGTGGGCCTCAATGACTTCTTTTCTGTCTTAGTCATCCTGATATCCTACCTGTTTATATTTATCACTATTCTGAGGATGCACGCATCTGAAGGACGCCAGAAGGCCTTTTCCACCTGTGCCTCTCACCTCACTGCTGTGTCAATCTTCTATGGGACAGGCACCTTCATGTACTTACAGCCAAGCTCCAGCCATTCCATGGACACAGACAAAATGGCATCCATGTTCTATACTATGGTCATTCCCATGCTAAACCCAGTGGTCTACAGCATGAGGAACAAAGAGGTCACCAGTGCCTTTAAAAAGACTGTGGAGAAGGCAAAGTCTTTTATAGGATTCATATTTTAATTACAAAGAATCTACAATTAAGGCACTTTCATCCACCTCAGATCTATCTAGAGAAAATATTTCCTGTCCAGCTCACAAATTTCTGATTTCTAATAGTAATTTCCCAGCTATTGATTAAATTTACAAAGTCTTAAAAAATATGATATCTAAGAATAATAGGTTAAGAAGAATCACCCATAATTACATTCTTGTCTTAAAAATGACAAATACCCACCATTTGCTTCAACGTGGATGGAACTGGAGGGTATTATGCTGAGTGAAATAAGTCAGTCAGAGAAGGACAAACATTATATGGTCTCGTTCATTTGGGGAATATAAATAATAGCGAAAGGGAATAGAGGGGAAGGGAGAAGAAATGGGTAGGAAATATCAGAAAGGGAGACAGAACATGAAGACTCCTAACTCTGGGAAACGAACTAGGGGTGGTGGAAGGGGAGGAGGGCGGGGGGTGGGGGTGATTGGTTGGCAGGCACTGAGGGGGGCACTTGACGGGATGAGCACTGGGTGTTATTCTGTATGTTGGCAAATTGAACACCAATAAAAAATAAATTTATTATTTTAAAAAAATTCTTTTTAAGGAGCACCTGGGAGGCTCAGTCAGTTAAGCATCTGCCTTTGGCTCAGGTCATGATCTTGGGGTTCTGGGATTGAGCCCCACCTTGGGCTCCCTGCTCATTAGGGGTCTGCTTCTCACTCTCCCTCTCCCCCTCTCTCTGTTCATGTGCTCACTCTCTCTCTCAAATAAATAAATAAAATCATTAAAATAAGGATTACTGCTAGTTAAAAAGAATTCTTAATAAACATGTTCTTGGGATGCCGGGGTGGCTTAGCGGTTGAATGTCTGCCTTTGGCTCAGGGTGTGATCCCAGAGTCCCAGGATCAAGTCCCACATTCAGGTTCCCTGCATGGAGCCTGCTTCTCCCTCTGTCTATGTCTCTGCCTCTCTCTGTGTCTCTCATGAATAAATAAATAAAATCTTAAAAAAACCCATGCTCATTCACGCTCCCATAAGAACATGTATTCTCACATACTCACATGTATGTAGAAGCACAGGCACATGCATATATAATTAATGAGAAACTTCTGAAATCTATACACCCACAAAAGAATAAATTAGTTAAGACATATATGAAAGGTCTGTTGTTATAGTAGAATTTAGAACAATTATTTTGTTGTCTGAAAACACATTCTTCACATCAATAGTTGACTTAATGGAAATATATATATGTACATATATGTACATATATATGTTTGGTTTTTAAAAATTATTCTTATGTATATTTCTGCATATGAAAAAGCAATATATTTTATATTTTAAAAATTAAACATGAAAACACTTCCAAAGTTCCTTTAGTATAGATTTATTATTGTTTTTTTTTGTCTGTTCTTGTTTTCAGTAAAATTCAAGCCATAAGAGACTCTTAACTATAGGGAACAAACAGGGTTTAAAGGACTCCAAACACATTCTACTCACTTGAGTGGCTGTCAGGCTGTTTTTCTCAGCTCCTGTGGTTCTGAAACTGCTGGTTTTCAAAGCTACCACAGAATTGGGAAGTAGAGCAGTGAAGATACCAGGAAGCTCATTATTATTACCCAGATTCTGCATTTTTCTTGAATAAACACTGTTTGGTTGTTGCAAGCCTTGTTTAATTTCTAGAGCTTTAAAAGTTTTGGAAAACTTCTTGCTTGTGTTATTTTTGCTTTAATGGAGGGGCATATTTTCAGAGGCCCTTTACCATTCTGGAAGTGTTTGTCCGCCCTATTTAATATCAGCTTCCTTTCTTATACCCTCTCGGAGTACATTGTTCTATATTTTTAGAATACGTATTAAAATTTGTAATTATATATTTATCTGTGAGTTTAATGTCTCTTTCCTCATCAGATCAAAATCTACTCATTCAGGAACTGTATCTCTCCTGTGTACACAGAATCTAACACAGCAGCTGAGTTGTGTCTTACTGAGTTGGGATTCAATAAATAGTTTGTTGACTTAATATATTCACTCATAAATGAATGAATATGTATTTTCAATGTCATTATAATTGAGATTAATTGTTGGAAACAATGTTGCTTGGGGCTTCTTTTTTATTTTATTTTTACTTTTTAAAATATTTTTTATTGGAGTTTGATTTGCCAACATATAGTATAACACCCAGTGCTCATCCTGTCAAGTGCCTGAGGCTTCTTGAAGGATTTATTGTTCTTTATGTTCTGGAGACCATGTAGAATTCCTAAGGAAGGTAATGCCAAGTTATGATCATTCTTAAAGATGTCCTGCATTATCAAGAAGAAATGCATTGACATAGGATGCATAATCTGGAGTCAGCATACTATCATTCTTACAAAAAAAACCTTCCATACTTTGTATAATTTTATGAATTTTATTAAATTCATTAGAGACCTGAGGTCACAGGGCAACTAACTCAAAATACAATCAAGGATAGGCATATTCCCAAAGAGATGGGATGAGAACACTAGCCTACCTGCGATAGATGCTTCTAGGTTCTATAATTACTGATATAAGGATTCATCAAAATTTTAAAATTAATAATTAAAAATTTAGTTATTAGTATGAACTAATGTGAGGATATAAATACTTGCAAATGATTTATTTGCACACATTTAATTAGACACAAGGGGAGTTTGTACTCATGTACATGCTCTGTTCTGCAGGCTTGTTTCAGTGTTTACAAGAAAGATTGAGGGCAGGATGAGGTTTCTGAGAATGCTGCTCTCCTGGGACTGGCCTAGGAGAAAGGACTAGCAACTGTTGCAGAAAAAAACCCTACTCAGATTCCTCTCCCTTACTTTTCTATAGAATAAAAGCTTAAGTCACTGATGCCCTCACATTCTGATAAAATTTGCTGGAACTGATATAAGAAAAGAGAATAAAGTCCTTTATCCATGGGAGTTGATCAGTACAATGTCCTGGGACAAAACCACAAGAAATGTAGCATATCTAGAATAGGTCAGGATCACTAAAAAGGGCACCATCTCTGGAAGCTAGGTGAAGCAAGAGAGTGAGGTTCTTGTCTCATGGGTTGAAGAATGAATCTCGTGGACAAAGAGGAGTGAGTAAAGTGATAGAGGTTTATTAAGCAAGGGTACCGAAAAAGCTCTCAGGAGTAAGAGGGCATCCTGACAGCATTTCCAATGTGGGCCTCCCCTGACAGTCTTTTATTTAGAACTTACCAGAGAGCTTGTGGCCTTAACATTATTGTCATGGTTGGTTTGAGTAAGTACTAATGATAATTTCTTTAATGGCTTACTTCTTTTTAGGGTCTGGTTATTCTTTGTTGGTTACAGGTATCTGTCATAAAAAGACACCCTCCCCACCCACACCTAGGGCAGGGTGATCTGGTTTGTTCCCTTATCTCTGGTTTCCTTACACTTCAGCATTTTGGAGGTTTCTGTGAGCCTGATCCCATAGCCCCCTACCTGTCTCTCACTACTACCCCACCTGTCCCTTACTCATAGGGACAAAGTTTCTGTGTAAAATAAAGGCTGTACAAGCACAGTAAAGAAGGGCCCTACTATCCACAGCAATGCTAGTAAACATTAAGTCGAGGTAAGCACAGTCTACTACTAGGAGAGGGCCAAGAACATGGAGATCCTTTTCTTTTTTTAAAAAAGATTTATTTATTTATTTGAGAGAGAGAGAGAGCAAGCATGAGAGGGAGGGGCAGAGGGAGATGGAGAGAAAATCTCTAGCAGACTCCACATTAAATGCAGAGCCCAATTCAGGGCTCAATCCCATGATCCATGAGATCAAAACCTGGGCCAAAACCAGAAGTCAGATGCTCAACGGACTGAGCCACCCAGGCAGCCTCAAGGGGATCCTTTCTGAGACAGGTGCATGGCAGTGGCAATTGGCCAGAGTGGTCTAGGCTGGTGTCTTGCACTCTTGCAGCTACAGAGGGCTGGACTGGCTGTTGATATAGGTTTCAGACTCTGGTGAGGGTAGGGATGGAGGGAGTAGGGAGGGACTTAGGCACCTGGCATATACGAACATGAATACCTGTATGATAGAACTGGTAAGATCGGTAAAAGGTCCACAGGAGGTATGCTGGCTATTGGTTTCTTCAGTGACAAAAGCTGGTGGGGGCATATTGTCTTGGAGAAAAGGTTTTTATTTTTCACTGTTGAAGATGATGTTTGTTGTGGGCTTGTCATTTATTATTTTGAGGTACATTCCTTTCATACCTAATTTGTTGAGAGCTTTTGTCATGAAAGAATGCTGGATTTTATCAAATACTTTTTGTACATCTATTGGGATGATCATATAGTTTTTATCCTTCATTCTGTTGCTGTGGTATATCACATTGGTTGATTTGCATATGTAGAACTGTCCTTATATCATGGTGTATGATCATATCCAACAATACATAAAATGCCTAATAATTCATGACTAAGTAGAGATGCAAAGTTAGTTCAACCTCCAAAATCAATGTTATTCACTATATTAATGGACTCAGGAATACAAATCATATAATCATCTCAATAGATGCAGAAAAGCCTTTGACAAAATTCATCATGCGTTTATGATAAAAATTCAGCAAACTATTAATGGTGGAGAACTTCCTAAACATAATAAAAGACATCCATGAAAAACCTACAGCCAGTTTCTCACTTTATGGTAGAAGACTGAATGCTTTTCTCCTAAGATTAGAAATAAGGCAACGATGTGCCCTCTTAAAACTTTTATCCAACATCATGATATATATCCTAGTCAATACCCTAAGGCAAGAAAAAGACCAGTTGGAAAGAAATAAATAAAATTCTCTCAATTCAGAGAAAATATGGCTTTCTACTTAAAAAATCGCTTAGAAAAGCTACAAAACTAATACGTTTATCAAGTTCTGAAGAAACAAAGTCACCATGCAAGAATATGTCAGAATTTTATACAATTTTAATAAAAACTTAGAAATTGGAATTTAAAAACAGTACCACTTGCCGTAGCAGCAACATGAAGTACTTAGGTATAAATTTTGCAAGATATG